CTCCTCCTGGCAACTTCCATATCTTCACCTTTCCCTGCTTCCTTTGCTCCTTCCCACCCACCAAACCTTATATCTGCCCCAATGTTCAACTATATCTATTCACTTTATTTATACTCTACCTTTCTACCCAGTGAGGACCCAAAGCAACTTGCATCATTTTTACCCCTCCACTGTATCCCCACAACAACCCCGTAGGTAGATTGGACCGAGAAATATGTAACTGGCCCAAGGTCACCCAGGGAGCTTCCACAGAAGAGTGTGGATTCAAACCTGGGTCTCCCAGATCCTAGTCTGAAATTCTAAACACCACCCCACAGTGGTTTTCATGCGGTGCTTGCTGTTGAATAGCAGGAAGCAACCTGGACTGCCACAGGTTACAGCCAGGCCTCGTGCCACGGGTCCCCAGTCAAAGATCAAAACAGGCCTGGAAAGGGCCTGTCCCCTTCTCCCTGCATTATACTTCAGAAAACAAGACTTGAAGGCTGGCAGTATTGTTGTGGTTGATTAGTAAGCCCTGCAATAGCAACTGCAGAAGAAGTTAATTTCTTAAAGGTAGAGGAGCTACTTCTATTATGGGGTGTGTGTTTTTAACCCCCTATGTATATTTTCACATTTTCTGCAAACATTTGTTTGTTTGTAGAAAGATCTGTCTTGTCTGCTTATGGTTCCAGTCTCCAAATTTAAGTATCTACAGATGAGGCCACACTGAGAATTAGATACCTTGACAACATCCATGGCTGTTCCAGTCCTTACATATGGACTCACTGCGGATTATTTACTACAAAATTGCATGTGCCACAACTTCTACTCTCCTCTACCTCCCATTTTCCACTGCAATTGTGGTTTTAAAATGTTAATGTGAAATTTTCTAAGTGATGTCTGAAAAGTACTGGGTTCGATACATCAGGACTTGGACCACGGCATAGGAGACTCAGCTTAGAGGGAACAGTGGTCCTTACATATGGACTCACTGTGGATTATTTACTACAAAATTGCATGTGCCACAACTTCTACTCTCCTCTACCTCCCATTTTCCACTGCAATTGTGGTTTTAAAATGTTAATGTGAAATTTTCTAAGTGATGTCTGAAAAGTACTGGGTTCAATACATCAGGACTTGGACCACGGCATAGGAGAAGACGCGTTTATTGGTACTTCACACATGGAACAAAAACTAATGGCCGGGTGGCCAACTTTATACATTTGGGAAGGGACTCCCCTTGGTTCTATTGGCGGGTTTAAACTTCCCACTTACTGGAAGTTCAGGAGCCTAGTCCCTATTGTTTTTGGGATCGAAGCTTTGCTGCCTCTGGCTGGTGCCTGGCAGTGGTCTGAGGACATAACAATGTCTGACTCACAAAATGCTATGCTGAAATAAACTTTGTTAGAGTTAAAGGTTATCAATTACCTGAAAGCAATAGAAGAGTTTCTTACCTCATTTATGGTTCCAAGCCTCCAGTAGGTAGAGCGACATAAATTTTTAGACCCCAAAAGAATTTCATGTATGTCATAATCCTTTGGTTCAGTCTCTCTGTTTTGATGCCTTTAAGTTAAATAAAAGCGGGGGAAGGCAGATGAAATTAAACAATTATGGGCACTACTAAAAATGCAGGTACCAGTCACATCAAAGCATCTATGGTTATATTTCTAATTCTGGGAGATACTCTGAACTTTTTTCTAAATACAACTTGAAAAACATTTTGTTCAGAGATTATAGCAAGACACAAAACATGCTTAAAAGAAATCTAAATGAGAAAATCAGCTATCAGTAATACCAATGCACAGGAAAAAAACAGAACAAATAATATAGAGTACTATACATCAAACAGTATAGTAAATGGGATTTTAAACCTCACTGGGAAATAAACAAAATACTCTAGCCTTCACAGTCCTAGAAAAAAGCTCCAAGTCAAAGAAACTTGTGAATACTATATATTTTATGTCGAAAAGGTGAAAACTAGAGGTAGAAAAAATTGTGGGGGCTCAGCTCGTCTTGGAAGCAGGAGACAGAAGAGTTAGCAATGCCTCTATACTTACCAGCCGTACACAAGAGTCGGTCTCCCATAGCGGGCAAAGCTGGAGCGTAAAGTCAGCGCTCCCCTGCGCTGCATCACATCTGTGGGACCTAATTCCATTTTCAAAACTTTGTTTTTTTATTGCAACTCTTGGGAACTTTGTTCCACACATGTGAAATTCCTTGGTATTAAATTGCAAACATCCATAAGTAAGAAGCAGCAGCAGACAATATCTCACATCTATTTACATCATTTCACTTTTCAACTCACTCCAAACTCCTCCCCCGCCTCCGCTCAGTAAATACTAATAAAACTACTTCTCCAAACTTCCAAGCCCTTCACGATCTAAACTCTTCTTGACAGAAAGACCATAACCGGCAAGCATACTTCAGCACGCCCTCTCATTTCCATAGCAACCATAAAAGCTGCCAAAGAACGAACACTCACGAATCATTCCACTCCAAGCCGGAACTATTTTGTTGTTGTTGCTGGGCTCCCACTGCGAGCCCAGCGACTGTGAAGGCCAGGATAACACTACATTTCCCAAGATGCAACAATACACTTAGCTCAAGGATTGAAGGACAGCTTTCTCAAATTGGAGCGGCAACTGGGGACCCCAAGCTTTTAATAAAACATATCTGTAACAGTTTTCGTTGGTAGTTTTGTTGGGGAAGCGAGGATAAAGCGTTCATCTTTGCCATGCCCTCTCGTTTGTGTGTTAAAGCCGGTCACATATCTATATATCTAATTTCCAAGGTGCCCCTGCGTGCGAATATCTAAATCCACACATCGGGGGCACCTGGGGGGCAGGGAGATTTTCCTGCACTGGTGGATCAATGCCCAGGTGTGCAGAAAAATCTGAAAACTGTAAAAAAATATAGGGGGGATAATTAAATCCCCAAAAAAGTAAAAGAGCATCCCCTGCACATGCACAGGGAATGCTCTTAGAACGGCTTCGCCGCCACCCCTACCAGAGAGGGGGAGGGGAAGAAGGCTTGGCCGACCAGTGGCTGTAAGCCGCTCAGCCCTCGCCGCCGCCGGGGGGGGGAGGAAAAAGTTTGGCGGGCCGGCGAGGCCTCTCCGCTGGGGGGGGAGGGAGGGAGGGCGGGCCAGCAAGGCCTCACCACCGTTAGGGGAGGGGGGCTCACCTGAGGCTGCTTCCTTCTCCTGTGGAGCTTCTCCTCCACCCCCACCCCCCGTGAGTATTGCAGGTCCCCCTTCTTGCACAATTATATTCCTTTTACTTTCCAAAACGAGAGATTCTGGTGAGGACTGCCTGAAAGAATGTGTTATACCACCACCACGCCCAGAATGCGTTATACCACCACCATGCCCCGAGCTGATGTGCGTGGGAAACTCACTCTACGTTTGTTTATTTATTTAGAGCAGGGGTGTCAAACTCATTTGTTATGAGGGCTGGATCGGCCATAAATGAGACCACACGTTCACACATGCTAAATAATGCAGTTTCAATCCACTTCAGTGACTGCAAGTGGGTTTTGCCATTTCACAGGGTAAAATCCAGTCACAAAGTGCATCGAAAGCAGATTGAAAGTGCATTGTTTAGTGTGTGTGAAAGCCTGCCGGGCCATGTGTGTCATAAAAGGTAATGCCAAGTAGCAGAGCTTTACACTTTATAAATGACACAAACACAATTAAAGATTTTTTTAACTTTAAATCACACATTTCCAGTGATTTCGACACCCCTGATTTATAGGTACTTATACTGATTATTATAGAAAGGCAGATCTAACCAGCCCTAATCCAAATTAGATCTTGTACAAAGGATTGCCAGCTCTATAGGAGGTTCTTGTACCTGCATATTTTAACTGTTTTTGTTGGTATATTATATAAGCAATATTTCTCCAGGCCACTTTGGCTGGAGATCCTGGAGGGTTTTTTGTCATCTTCTCGGCGTGGAACAGCAATCACTGGGGGTGTGGAGGGGAAGGTATTTGTGAACTTCCTGTCCTACATTGTGCAGGGGGCTTGACTAGATGACCTTGGAGGTCCCTCCCAACTCTATGATTCTGTGATTCTATAAGCTATTAAAAGATTTTTTAAAGGGGATTCATTAATAAATTGCTGGTTTTTAAAATATCAAATAAAAACCTTTTTTTAAAAATAGAGATTTTTAAATTGTCTTTCTAACATGTATTATAAGTTAACATTCTGCATCTCCACTACTACGTTTAATCTTGGCTGAGAGGCTGAGAAGTGCTGTATCTAAAACCAGACAGACGTATCTGGATTTGAAGTAAATTTCCACTATCCTTTCAAGTTTGTTTTTTTTATTGTGCTTCATCCTTTTCTGAATCCAGCTTGAACATCTGGCATTTCTTGTTCCATATACAGTAACAATCTTTGTTGTAAAATGTTGGGACTCAACTTCCAAAGCAGAAACTCAGCTGAAAGCTCCACTGAAAAGTGTGGTCCTTACTCCCCTATATGTGCATAGGATGGGGGGGGGGAGCTAACCTTTATCTGGGAAAAAGAAAAGGCTTTTACAGGCATTATGTTTATAGGACTCCTGTCGCACATACCAACAGGGTGTGCTAATCAGGTCATCTCAGTCAACATTATTGCCACTTGTCTGAAAAGGGGAACACACATTTTTACGCTTCAGTATGTGTAAACACATCCTGAAAATCTGGTTTTTGGGTTGTGTATGGCAAAGTTGATCACCATTTCAGACAAAATGATGGTCTCGTGTACTGAGATTATCATACATCACATACTCTCCAACAATGCTCTCTCTAAGCTGTGGAGTCTTGTGAATAAAAATTCTACTTTGTGAGCTACTGGTATTAGAGTTGTGAGCAGGTGATTTGGCTACTGCATAAATCAGTTTGCTCTGGAGCCATCCTTCCTGAGCGAAGACAAAAATGTGTGAGCCAGAGGTTAAAGAACTGTGAGCCAGCTCACACTAACTCAGCTTAGAGGGAATACTGCTCTCCAAGTGTGTAGTATAGAAGCATCAGAAATGTGCTGTCTGAAAAGGGCAAAAGTGGGGTAGGCAACAGCAGCATACTGGACCAGGGCTCCCTAGCATGGCAGCCATGGGAGCCATAGCACCAGCCATATGCTTCAGAAAAAAGGAGAAGAGACTGGATTTATACCCTGCCCTTCACTACCCAAAGGAGTCTCAGAGCGGCTTACGATCTTCTTTCCCTTCCCCTTCCCACAACAGACACACTGAGAGGTAGGTGGGGCTGAAAGAGCTCTTTTGAGAACTACTCATGGGAGAACAGCTCTGAAAGAACTTGTGACTGACCCAAGGTCACACCAGCAGCTGCATGTAGGGGAGTGAGGAATCAAACCTGGTTCTCCCAGATTAGAGTCCGTGCTCTTAACCACTACACCAAACTGGGGGCCATTGTGAAGAGATCAGCAACTGGCTACCTTCATACAAACATAGGGGCTTTCCAGCATGGTCTTTTTCTCCATGTGCGTTTTACCCTCCTTTTCACCATTGGTCATAGTTGTTTTCTTTTGTGTGTGTGTGTTATCTCCCTTGGGCTTCTTCTGTGTGTATATGTGTTTATATTCCACATCCTCCTCCCTCTTGTGTGTGTATATGTGCTTGGCTCATCTCCTGTGGCCCTGTGGCAGCCATTTTGCAGTGGTTCCTGCCATCCTGCCTCAAAATTCCTAAGGTACTGGCAGGCATAAAAAGGTTAGGTACCCTTGCATCAGACTATTCTGTTTGGTGCTCAGGGCTGCATTTCTACTTAATCAACTAAGGCACTGGCAGCAATACTGGAGCCAGCAACTGCCAACACGGGACACCCTGCAAAGGGCATGGTTTATACCAGTCATCTCATCTCCTCCCAGACCTGCACAATCACCAGCCAAATCCAAAGCAATTCCCTCACATGCCAGCAATGGTACTGGCACCTGGCTTGTTTCAAACATGTCTAGCCAAATGCAATCCTTCCCACTCTCACTTCTGTTTGCCTGCACACCAACTTTTTCCTGTTGCATTGTTTCTGGCACTTGGACACACCTCCCCCCAAGTAGCTAACTCCAGGCTAAAGTGTGCCCTATCAGAACACGTGGAGCTCTCAAAGGGGCAAATACCACCATTCTAGGTAAGGAAAATGGCAGGTGGTGAGCAATATTCCCTCTAAGTTGTGGAGCTACTGGCATTAAAGTTGTGAGCAGGTGATTTGGCTACTGCATCAATTAGTTTGCTCTGGAGCCCTCCTTCCTGAGCTGAGACAAAAATCTGTGAGGTGGAGGCTAAAAAACTGTGAGCTAGCTCACACTAACTCAGCTTAGAGGGAACACTGGTGGCGAGGTATTAAGCTCCCTCCCCTCTCATGCCATGGCCCAGATCCAAATCATCCCAACCCCCCCCCCCGAAATGCAAAATTCCAGAATACCTGTCTTAGCTTGACTGAGGGACATCCTAGGAAAAACCTAATGCAGTTAAGTCCCATTAAAGTAAATCCAGCCTACTTGTGAATCAATACCCTTAGTAGCTTGAGTGATAAATTCTCCATCTTGCCTTTCTCCCGTCAAAGATCTTTGAAACAAAAATGAGAACAGTGGAATTCTAAACCGGGGTACATCCTGCTAAATCCATTGAAGACAATGGTTTAAGAAAGATACAGCCTCGTAAGTTCGTTTAGGATTGCACTGTGCATTACCAAAAGGGGAGAGAAAGCACGGAATGAAGCGGGCTAGTGGAGGTGAAAGCGAGAAGTCACAGCAGAAGCTTGCCGCTTGCCTCAGTCAAAGAGTACTAGCTGACCCTTAACTTTTGTTTCCCCCACCCCGCCCCGTTTCTTTCGGCCAGGCTGTGCCAGACGAAGTGAGGAGGCCGTGCCTCGTTGCTAGATTAGTCGGTTCCCCGAGCTCCGCGCTCCGCCCTGCGGGGCCGCTGACCCGGATGCGCTTTGCTTTCCCCGGCCTGCCTCTGTGAGGCGACGGTGCCGCCGACAGTAGTAGCAGAGGCGGCGGCGGGCAGCGGGGGAGGCGGGGACCGAAGATGGCCGAGTCCCCAGAGGAGGTGGCGGTGCTGGTGCAGCGGGTGGTGAAGGACATCAACAATGCCTTCAAGCGGAACCCCCACATGTGAGTGAATGAAGCGCGCAAGACGGAGGGGGATGAAATGTTGGGAGCGCGGTCTAGAACACCCCCGGCTCTCTTTTAGCCTTCCTGTCTCGTGCGGATGCCTGTCCTTGCGGGCAGGGCAACAGAGGAGG